CTCGGGAGGCAGAGAATAGATGGGGGCGGGGCCAGTCAGAGGTGGGATTTGCCGATTCTGCGAACTAATCAAAATTTCCGCTACCGGTTCTCCAGAACTGGTCAGAACCTGCTGAATACCACCTCTGGGTAGGGGTTGGCAGGCTGCATGCACTTCCTCGTTCCCAAGAATTTGAGTAGATATGCCCTTTGGGGGCAGGCTGTGTGGTTCAACTCTTTTGCTAACAGCAGCCAGTTTCTAATCTTAATCTGTTCTGGACACTTTCCATGCTGCCCATTGTGTGCTACAATGCGGGATAAAGGTTTCCCAGTGTTACAACGTGGTCCAAAACTGTTCCACATACTATTAGAAAATTCTTCTCGGAACATGTGCGATTTGATTTTTACTGCAATTTTATTTAGCAATGTTGTTCATTTCTTGTTCATTTTTTCTTTCTTTCTTTACCTCTCCACATTACACATTCTTCTTTTATTTTAGATCAGCGGACTTGTGAACCCTACCAGTTCCGCTGCAGGAACAACCGCTGTGTTCCAGGCCGCTGGCAATGTGACTATGACAACGACTGTGGGGATAACTCGGATGAGGAGACCTGTAGTATGTGCCCACTTCAACCTTATGCTACCGTGTTTGCATGTGGGGAGGAAGGAGATGACCTTTTCTTACCTTTTCTTATCTACTTCTGCCTAATTTTAGGAAGGTTGTAAAAACAAGAATTGCTTGTAGAAAACGGGTACTGAATAAAGCAGGCATCTCTTCCCATCAGAAAAGTTCCCATTAGTGTCAGAAGCGATAAAGAATTGAGCTAGAAAAATACTGGCTGAGTTTCAAGTTCAATAGCTGTAATTTGAGAAGACAAATGTTGTGTGTTGCTTGAGCCATACCCAAAAGATGCCCAACAAGGCAAATATTTCCCTTGCATTTCTTCTGTGCCAATTCTTGTGATCATCTCAGCTGGTGGTACCTGCATGAAAATAATTTCTTTGCAGTTATTGTATCCCCAGCCAGATAGGCCTGAGAAAAGGTAACAGGAAGACTCAATTGTGCATATCTTACCAGAATAAATTTTTTAATAAACTATCCTAAATAGTTCCAAAGGTGCTTTTTCAAAAGGCAACTGGACTTCCTGGTTTTTCTTTGAAGACGTTTCACTTCTCATCCAAGAAGCTTCTTCTTAAAACTGAAGAAGCTTCTTGGATGAGAAGCGAAACGCCTTCAAAGAAAAACCAGAAAGTCCAGTTGCCTCTTGAAAAAAGCATCTTTGGGTCAACCAGGACCTGGATGACTGAGAATCTCCATAGATGTTACCCTAAATAGTCTTTCTATCTGCGTTGTTTTCATCTTCTGGTACCAAACATTTGGGTGCTCTTCATGTACGCTTCCCCTTCCCAAGATATCTAAGAGGAATCTTGGTCAGATGAATATTCCAGATTTTTTAACAGTTGTATGCAATATTCTTGGGTCAATTGTCCAGAATGCCAATTTGCTGAATGCTCTGGATATTGATCAGACTGATGACATTATTGAGATGTTCAAAAAGATTATCAGCCTTTGGTAATCATATCCCAAGACGGAAGGGAATTCCATAGACAAATTTTGCTTTGACTAAATGGTAATCCTTCTGCTGTCGCTGTTTGGTATCAGTTGACCAGGATAAAAATGTCCAACAGCATGATCAAGATAAAAGACAAATGATCTGTCACAAAGTAATGCTTTCATGGAACCTTTGGGTGTTGTAATGAAGCCAGGCTTCCAGCAATTACTTTAAATCTTTTAAAATAGCTCATAAAATACCTCATCTCTTCCCCCTCCCCACTAACTCCTGTAGATGCTAGAACATGACTACTTCTTTTGGTTTGTTCCTTACCATACTGTGTAATTTGAGTTTGTGCCATTTCACTTCATCTTATGTTTTTCTCCATTTTCATACTGTCGTATCGGGGCTTGCAGAGGTAGGTTTCTGTCAAAAATGTTTTCCTTCCCCTTTAAAACTTTAACTGTGTTGAAAGGAGGGGAAATTATTTGGAGGTTTCAACTGTATTCCCATGTATTTGCCTCTGTATTCCTTTTGCAGGAATTTAATGGAGGTTTGTCTATGTGATGTTTGCTGGAGATCTACTTCTTTTTCAAGTCAATTCTACTGCACAAACCAGGCTGAACCGTCTTATCTCTTAATATTTCTACTAACCCTTCCTTTATTGTATGAAATGTTTTGAGAAAGAGCCCAAGGTTGAAGCAGCCAATTGTGGCATAGTAAACATTGGACAATCAGTGGTTACCATATGGGGTGTGTGTGCATTGGTTCTGTCCTGGCACCTCCGTTGGGGCAGAAATGGCATTACAGACTTGTTTTCTGAAACTGAGGATTCACTTCCTACGGATAAAGATGATACCCCGGTAGAAATTGCTTCCCTCAATGCAATTTCCTATGTTGCAAGCAATTATAGCAGTGTCGGTGAAAACAACAAAACGCCTCAGTAAGATAATAACTGAGTTGAAAGTGGAATATGGTATCTGCTTGGTTCGATAAATCTAGGGGATTCTTTGCCCATTAACTTTTTATGAGGCAGGGAGGCAAGGAAACACCCAGAAACTTTCAATAATAGTGTTGAATCTCCCACTGAGGGTCTCTAAATTAGGAGCGACAGAAGGTGGATGGCAAACTTCTGCTGGAACTCCGGATGATTTGCAGTAGTCTCATAAGCGCTACTTGCTCCCAGTTGTATAACAAATAGCAAGACAATCTCACTTTCTCACAAGCAGTTAAAACAAAAAAGTCGGATAAAGGCATATATGCATATTATGCAAAAGGGTGTGACTTCAGTCCTTCTACTGAAACTAGCTCTTAAACTGAATATGTCCCTTGACTTTGAAGTACATTCCTGCAGAAGGTTCTCTTTTATGGATCTCTATTTAAAAACGAAGCATATTACCCAGTTCTGGAGTTTTCTCTCCTAGTTGTTGCCAGGAGCAGAGACTAAGAAACTTGAAGCTGTTTCTGTACTTGACATTTAGTAATCTCTTGAAGGAACTTGCCAGTTGCTACAAAGCTACTATATGGTGTGTGGTAGGCAAACTCTTCAGACAACAGGTGAAACAGGTCAAAGTTCACAAGTCAAAAAAGTTGAGCTGAGATTGTTAGTGTGGCAGAAGCTGCTGTTTATTTATTTCTTTATTAAATTTGTTTGCAAGGCAAACCGCTGTGGATAATGTGGTAGATAAACTCAGAAATCATTGTCTTGTTACCTCTTTCTCTTTACTCCCACCCCAACTTTTCTTTTTTCTTCTCCTCTTCTATGTTCTGTTTCTAGTCAAACTGAAGTTAAGAATCTTCTGTGTTACAATAATCGGGCTACTTATGCCTACCCTGCGAGGCACTAAAAAGAAGCAACGATGTGCGATGTGTGTGAAATGTAGAATAGCCACAACTCACTACAGGTGTGTTGAAGCTTTCCGGCTCATGTCCCTCTCTGCTTTCTCTGCTTACAGAGCCCAGGCCTTGCTCCGAAAGTGAGTTCTCTTGTGCCAATGGCCGCTGCATCGCAGGCCGTTGGAAGTGTGATGGGGACCATGACTGTGCCGACGGCTCTGATGAGGTAAGGTCCAAGGGTGGAAAGTGGCAAGAAAGAAGCTATGTTGAAGCTATGTCACAACTAGCTTCTAGTCTTCAGCTTGAATTTTTACAGTAGCCCTCACCACCTTGAAACCGTCCAAAAGTGATTTGAGTATAACTTCTATAGCAAGGGGTGTCAAACTGGCGGCACGCAGCCTGGATGTGTCACACACAGGCCACACCCACCCCAGCTCCGCAAATGGGAAAAATGTCATGAAGCGTCAACGTTGACGGCAACGTGACGCAGCAAGTTTGACATCCGTGTTCCATAGTCTTTGTAGATATGAATCAAATGTTTAAGGAAATTGTAGCTTTCATATCTGATTAACATCTAATGGGGGTCAATGGTCTTGTTAGAAGTAAATAGAATTTTACTTGAGTGCTGGGATCAGCATAGCCTGCGTTTAAAATCATTTTTATAGATGAAAAAACATGGATCAGTTTGGCGTGCCTAGTAGGAAAAACATGAGTTACTGAACAGCAGTATAAGTAACTGTTGGGAAAGACCCATAAGGACGCTTTGATGGAAGTAGCTTCTTTAGAAATTAGATAAATTAGATAAATCTTTTTATCTAATGCTGATTCTGAGAGGGAAAAAAAATTAACATTTTGATTTTATATGACATCCACTTAATTTTGCATTCTTCGTTCCCTTCCTGTGTAGTCCCATAAAGTAAGTTGTTATATTCTGAAAGTCCTATTGCAAGTACTCTGATATTAAGACTCAACAACTTCGGCTGCTTAGGGAAGCCTTATTGATTCAGACAGAGCAATAACTTACTCAATGTTAGATCACTGCTCTCTGACCTGAAATGCCCCCCCCAAACCTTGTTCCTTCACAGAAAGAATGCAAGCCACGCTGTGAACAAGATCAGTTCCACTGCAAGAGCGGCCACTGCATCCCACTGCGATGGCGCTGTGATGCCGATGCCGATTGCATGGATGGCAGCGATGAGGAAGACTGTGGCACAAGAGGTAACGGCAACCATAATTTCTTCCCTTGGAAGAGAGGACACCAAGACTAGGTGTCAAATCCCAGTGCCCAGATCTCAGTTTTATCTCTATGGGGAGGGGATGACTAGGGAATTCTGGGAGTTGAAGTTCATACATCTTGAATCTGCTGAGATTGAGAAACACTGGTCTGAGTGGAGAGCAGGCCACGTACTTACAAGGATCCCTGCTAGGATACTGAGGCCTTTGCAGCCATGCAAGGATGCCAGACACGATGCTATCCTGGGTCTGGTGGTATGTGTGGATTCCTGGTTGTGGAACTTATCATTGCTTTTTTTGTTTTGTTTTTTACATCGTTTGATGCTACTCACAACTTAGGTGGGATAGCAATGCTCAGGAATGAGGTTGCAGCTTACATGCTTTTGTGGCTCCTTTATAGTGCGGACTTGCCCTCTTGATGAGTTCCAGTGTAACAACACTCTGTGCAAGCCGCTGGCCTGGAAATGTGATGGTGAGGATGACTGTGGTGACAATTCTGATGAAAATCCCGAAGAATGCTGTGAGTATCCTCGCTCCTGTGATTAACGCCTGCTTCTCTTGTTCATCATTTTCTTTTTTCACCTGATTGGCTAGAGGTTCACAGGGAACTAGGGGCGCCCAAAACCTAGGCTTTGACAACTGTTCAAGCCAGAATCAATGCTTCCTTCTCTTAGATTCTCACCACGCTTCTATATCTTACTCTCAGGAGTTGAGGTGCCCAGAAATTCCAGAGTGACTTAAGGAAAAAAGCAATGGGTTTTGTGCTGTATTCTGGGAGGAAGCTGACAGCTATATTCTATACTGTATCCAGTGTAAGGAACGCTTACAAGATTGTCACTTTGAAAATGAAACAGTTCTGAGGAATTGTCTAGATTCACATAGGATGAAATTGGAGGAATTTCACCAGGGCCCCCTGATCTTATGAAAGAGGCTTGAAGATGCAGAATCTGAAAAACCATTGTTCTACATCAGCCACAAAGTTATTGGTACATTGAGAAACAAGACAAGAGAAAATGTTGCAATGGTTAGGGTACAAAATTAAAACGTGTGAGTTGTTTGTTCACTATAGATATGCAAATATTTAAAAGTCCTGTTGGTTAAACTGCGTACACTATTAGGTCAGAGTTTGGGTTACCATTTTTTCCTACAGACTTAAAAGAATGAAGACTGTTCCATAACAGTTTATATTTAGAAGTGTCAAAATATACAGGAGTATATTTTTTGTAATTTGCATCCAATAAAAATGGCCCAATAATGTTTTTTTAAAAAATGTAAATTGTCCTATTTACTTTAAAGGTCAATTCTATCAATGCTGAAGTCCCCCATGGTGCAATGTCCAGTTAATTTCTGGTGGCAATTCCTTACACCCTTTATGTTCAAATCCCCAATTATCCACAAAAGTCACAGGCTGACCCGAAGTTACCAGCTCTTAAATCATTCTTGCAGGGACATATGTTATTGGAAAGAAGGGCTGAGGGTGGGAGAGAAAAGAGATAATTTTATAAACCATCTTGAATTCCAGGCTTAGAAAAGGCCTCCGGGGAGGCTTTGGAAAGCTGCTGACCACAGCACATTCAAGGCAGAGCTGAATAGATCCATATAGGAAGACTGATACCACTTTAGTTGTCAGGTGAAACAATCTTATATCTTGCACAGTTTACCATTCAGGTAAAGCAGCTGAACTGAGAGGGTGACCATAGTCTTCCAGAAGTCACAGGTGTAAACAGTGGGCTTCCAGCACAGCCGAAAACCACTGCTACATTCCCCTATTCTCTCAGCCTGAGGGTGAGGGGCCAGGGGAGAAAAATTAGACAGGGTCCAGAATCCTACAGAGCCCCTGAAATTTGTATTTTCCACTGTGCAATGGAGGAATGGGAAGGGGGAGAGGGGAACCGACCACCTGTTTTATGGCTCCCGAAAATGCCGTGACTTCAAATCATTCTGGTTCGCCTTTTTTCACTCTTTCTCTTCGCTTCTGTTTTCTGCCGCAGTGAAATTCCAGTGTCCTCCCAACAGACCGTTCCGTTGCAAGAATGATCGTGTCTGTCTGTGGATTGGCCGCCAGTGTGATGGGATTGACAACTGTGGCGATGGCACCGATGAGCAGTTCTGTGGTGAGTGGTTTCTGCTATCTCCTAAGATTTGCAGAAGCACGGCAAACTCTCCCTACAAGTAATAAGCTACAATCTTGGGTCACTTGTACTAATCCTATTGTGTAACTGACAGGCAGAAGCCAATAACCATGAAGTTAATGACCACCATAAAAAAAAAAGATAAGTCAAATCAGGTTAGTGACATGGGTTGCCCATTTTACAACCATCACAACTTACAGCCATAATGGGCAGGTTCCATTACAGTCAAAAGTCAAGTCGAATGTAATTTGCCATTACCTCATTCTAGAATATTACCATCTATAGCCCTGGCAATAGATATTACCAACTACAGCCATGGCAGTGGTTCACCATTACCTCATACTGAGATACTACCAGCTATAACTTGGATAATTCCAGATGGTCTATCATCCGAGGCTGATCTGATCAGCTTTTTTGGAATCAATCTTAAGTTTGGGTAGGTTCCTCTAAAACGGTCTTCGTTTTAAGGAGTTCCCCCTGTGTTTCTGCAAGAGCCACAGCCCTAAGCTTCCTGAGGGGAAAAAAAGAAACAAGATTGGAGCATTGAATTGTGTGGAGATATAACAGACAGCTTTCACGGTGGATGAATGTACTTGCCTTGCCACCCAAGGTGATAGTAAAATCCAGTCACCTCTGTGGAGACACAGACTAGATTGGTGATTCTTCGGAAGGGAAGACAAGGGAATATAAGAGATCGAATTGTGGCCTCGCGAGGCATTCCTTTGGCTTCTCACTGACATCGTTTTAACCCCACAGATTCACCCACCACCAGACCCAGGAGCTGCAGCCACGAGAAGAATGAGTTCCTGTGCACCAATGGGAAATGTATCAGTGCTGAGCACCGCTGCAACTTTTTCGATGACTGTGGAGATGGGTCAGATGAGGACAATTGCTTGCAGGGTGAGGGGACAAATCACCAAGTGTGGATAATCTTGGATAGCAGGGGAGATGTGTGGTTTTTTTGCTTCGTGTGTGGGAGTGGGAGGGATAGCTCGGAGCACAGAAGGACAGTTGTCAGTATGATAGGATGAAACTCCAAATGGTTTGACCAATTACATGCTCGCACCCCCAGCTGCTGTGCTATCTCTCTTTGTTGATGCTGCTGATGTAAAATTGGTTTATTTCCATTTTGTGCTTGCAGATCCCAAGACGTATGGATGTCACACCAATGTAACCATGTGTGGCGATGAAGCCAAATGTATCCAGAGCCCCTCATCTGTTTACTGCACCTGTCGCAGTGGCTTTCAGAAAGTGCCAGGCAAGAATTTCTGCCAAGGTAGGAGGCCAATTGTGTAAATGTAGTTATTTTTATAAATAAAAAGGTATTTTTATGAGTTCTTCCTTCTCCATTTTTTAAAGTCTCCAACAAAGCTTGGTCCATTTTTAAAATCTAAAATGCTTTGGTTGTCTGGCTGTAGCAACATCAATGCTTTCGATAAATCTATGTCACCATCTGTCAACATGAAAGACGACCTTTTGTAATCCGTGAGGGAAAGGAACCACCTGAGTGCAGTCTGTTCTCGGTTTTTGGAATCAGTCAAGTTTGGATGGGTTCCTCTAGAACGGTCTTCATTTCAATGAGTTCCCCCTGTGTTTCTGAATGGGTCAGGTCCCTAAGCTTCCTGAGGAATAAAAAAGACAAGATGATTTGTGTGGAGATATATATAACAGACAGCATTTACGTTGGATGAATTTACTTGCCTGGCAAGTAATTTGTATTTATATTTTTGCTCTTTTAATCGGTCTCCTATTTCATCTTTTGTTCTATTTTATTCTATTCTACCTAGATTATATATTTATCTAGAATCTTTATACTCTGTTCTATCTTCATTGCTACTCTGTAGAGAAATAGCACATGAACATATGCCAGGTCATTTTCTGCAAAGTTAGAAGCCATTGTATCTGATAGTAGTTAGTGAATTAAGGCTGGTTAAAAATATTTCTACTCAAGCAGGCCTTTTTGTTGTTCTTGACATTCAGCACCAGGAGTTCCCATCTTTATGCTCCTGCTATGGAGGACAATCTTTCTAATCCTTCACCTTGTTGGCATTATTGCATGTGCATCTGCCCTTCCTTTGCAAAGAGCAAGAAGGAGTCATCACCTCTATAAATTTTGAGAGAGGGAGAGGGGAGAGGGAAGGAGAGAGAGAGAGAGAGAGAGGCAAATGGGTGGGAAGAGTGTAGTAGAAGAGGATTTGAAGTCACTTAGGGAGGAGAAACGCCTTCTCAAATTCTTGAAATTGGTGCTGGTTCTCCTTCTGTGCTGTTAATTCTGATTTCAGATAGTTTGTTTGTTCACGCTGTGTGTGTGTGTGTGTGTGTGTTGCATTATTGATTTTTAAAATTGTTTCCAGCTCTGGGAGCCTTCAAGGACTGAAGGTTGTAATCTTTGTATTAGGGAAACAGAATAAGAGGAGCAACTGCCACAGGATTAAGGAGTCCCTGACTGGAGAGAGAGAAAGACCTTTGGGTGTGGCTGATGCAAGACATGGGAAAGTCTACCAAAAGCATTAGACTTTTTAAGCATCTTCATCAGCCAAGCTGATGGTACTCACTGCTTGCCAGATGTGCTACAACTGTAATTTGAGCTTTCTTCTAAAACTTTACATTATTCATCCTGCCCTCCCCTTCCTGGCTAATGATAGGAACTGCAGGGAAATCAATTTTTGCAATATACTCCTTAGTGCTAAATTAACACCTGATTGGCAGTGAGATGGAGTACAGGGGAGGAACAAGGACGTTTGGGGATGCTAAACTTCTCCAGCTTCTGCTTTTTTAGTGATAATGATGATAAATCAAAACAACTGGTAACTTTGGAAAGACTTGTCCTTTTAACTGGCACACTTTATTTTTTGTTTGGTGGTGCTTGTTTAGAATGGTATTGAATGCTTGCATCTTGTTTGCAAGCTCACAGTCCATCTATAGATAAGGAGAGAGAGAGAGAGAGTGGGAGGGAGGGAGAGAGAGAGAGAGAGAAAGAGAAGACATAAGAAGAAAAGAGTATTTTTCTAGGAACAGTCCAAGGCTAGAAGCTAGCCAGCTCTACATTTTTAACCATTCTTAAACTGAGTTTTTCATTCTGATATTATGGTTGCCATGCATGCATGAATGTGGAGTGGCGCAGTGGCCCAGAGGTGGAGCTCTCACCTCACAATCAGGAGGCTGTGAGTTCGATCCTAGGTAGAGGCAGATATTTCTCTCTCTGGGTACACTGAGAATGTATCTGCTGAACAAAACTCCGCATTGGTGACAGGAAGGGCATCCGGCCATTAAAACATTCTTCTAGCTCCATTCAGTTGCCCAGACTCCACTCCGCAAGGGATTATGAGGTCGTTGAACGACAATGATGATGATATGTGCATGAATGTAGATTTCTTGGGAGGAATTTTACTAGTTCCTTGGCAGAAAATATGCCAGAATGGCTCTTGACTTCATGATTTCAGTGAGTTTTGAACGCAGATCCCCAGATCTGTTTCATGAGTATTTTACACTCTTCTTCCCAAGTTTTCACTGTACACACAAAGCCCAAGATTGTTCCCTTTGATTTTTATACACACGTAGAGTAGATCGCCATCACATTCCCATTTGGTATAAGCACCATTATTCATAGAACATCCCTCCAGTCTAATGAGTTATATGATGGCATTAGATTCACACCATCCATTACAGTTGAAATAATAATAATAAAAAGTAGCAAGGGCAACCCTGAGGGAATTATTACTTCCACCAATGAACTCCCTCGTCAATAGGGGACCATATGAGCTATAAATAATTTTGATAGAACCAAGTTCTAATGTACCCTGCAGAGGTTCCCACTTATAGAATACAGAATAGAAGGGACATTGGGGGGTCCTCTACTTTTTGTTCTGTTACTCTTGAGTCTTAAAGCAGAAAAAAAGTCTGATTTATTCTACCCTTCAGTCATTTGCATCCACTGATTTTGTTTTCATGTCTTCCTTGTTCTGCACAGACATCAACGAGTGCCTGAACTTCAGGGTTTGCAGTCATCTCTGCAACAACACCAAGGGCTCCTACATGTGCACTTGTGCCAAGAACTTCCAGAAAACCCATCATATGTGCAAGGCTGAAGGTACCGGAAACGGCGTTAGGCTGGGAGCTTTATTTAATATTCAGTGCAGAGTCCCTGTGTGTATCAGAGAGATCAGCTGATGGTGGGGCTTAATGAGATTTGAACAGATAGGATTACTTCATTCGCCTATCCATTTCTGCATGTTTTTCTAAAGGTTAAAAAAAAAATCAGAAATATTTGTCAGGCCTGACTTAATGAAACTGGTTGAGCTCTTTAAAAAAGAGATGACAAAGGATCTTTTCCAGTTTAATGTAATGTTTTAAAAGCCAGCATACTTAGAGCCGTGCAAGATTCTTTTCACAGAGGTTTCTGCCATTTTCTAGAATCACCGCAAAGCTCAGTTGTGCTGTGCGGTAGAAAACATCCTAGGTAGAAGCCATTTGTGTGGAAAGAGCCTGGTGCTGCTGTAATCACAGCGGCTGTTGTAAAAATTAAAGGAGGATCAAAGAGAAAATCCTTGGCAAAAACATTTCAAAACCTTTCTTCTCAGCTCGATACTTTTCCCTGAGGTATGTTGGTCCTGGTATTCTAGAAGTTGCTTCCCTGAATTTCTTTCTGGAAGAACATAAGCTAGCTGGACTTTGTTTCTATTAACTTTTGTCCTATTGGGAACAAAACACTCAGATTTGCTCCTAGCAGGATCAATGGCAGAATACTATTTAATCCCCATTTTTAATTGACATGTATGATAATGCACTGGGTGCCATGACACATACTTTGGAGCATTACCATTCAAGAGCAGAGAGTTCTGGCCTTTGCAGCCAATTCTCTTTAGCTGCTTCTAAGAAGAAGAAGAAAAACAAATTACTGTCTGCCTTATATCTGATCTGAGCAAAATGAGAGATAAAGCTGAAGAAGAGCTGAGGATGAAACTAAAGTAAGGTGACTACGGCATTAAAACACTTGGCTGATTACAGAACTCCATTTTCTCATCATGGGGCCAAGGGGCCTAGCGGGCTCCTTGGCAGTCCTGAAGAAAGTTTTGTACATTTGCCCTCTGTGAGGAAACAAGGAGCCAATGTTAACTTCCTGCTGTGCTTTGGCGGGGAGGGGCTAGAATTGCCAAGGAATTTCATCTTGTCATATTGGATGTACCATAAGGCACATGTATATTTTCACATTTTGGCTGTAGACCGGCATCAAAGAGATACACGTGAGCAAATAATTCTAGAAAGCCTATAAAAATATGCTTTTTTAGGTGGCAGGGAAAACTATAAGCCGGCGAGCATTTAAACTGCTTCCCTGAGGTGTGCAAACATATATAATTACACATCAGGTTAAAGTTCATCATGATAATTTGTTCTCTTTTTCCTGAAAATGGTGCCTTCCCCTCTTCTGTCTTGATCATCTCTCTGTGGGAAGATTCACTCATTTTCATGTCGGGATCATAAAAATCAATGTATTATAAGATTTGGGAATTATTTTATGGATGGTTAGAAAGTAGAGTTAGAAATTAAAGGATATTGTAACAATAATGATATACTAAAATTGATTATTTTTGAATAAGCTATAATATGAATATAAGTTAGTAAGACTTGGGATTTGCTTTTAAGGATAGTTTGAAACTGAAATAAAAACTTAATGACAATTTAATAATGATATAAGATGATATATAATGTTGACTGTAATATAATATGAATGTAAACTCAATAAGAAATATATACCAATATTATTATGTGCACAAGATACATGTACCCAACCGACACACTGTATAATTGAAAGATGGTTTTATTTGTTGTTTTTGTTACAAAAATAAAAAACTTTTTCAAAAAAAAATCAGTGTAATGGTTCTATTCTTTTTTTCAGGCTCTGAGTATCAGATACTTTACATTGCTGATGACAACAAGATCCGCAGCATGTATCCCTTCAACCCGAACTCGGCCTATGAACCCGCCTTCCAAGGCGATGAGACTGTCCGTATTGCTGCCATGGATGTGTACGTGAAGGGTAACAAGATATACTGGACTAACTGGCACACAGGACGCATATCCTGCCGTGATCTCCCCTCCTCAGCCGGTTCCAGTGCCCCCAATCGTAACCGGCGGCAAATTGACGGTGGTGTCACCCATCTAAATGTAAGTGGCAGAAATTCAATGTCTGAGGAGCCACCAGAACTGGGATTTCAAAAAGGCCTTGAAGCTCATTTTGCTTCCTTGCTTTTTCTCGTTCAGATCTCAGGGTTAAAGATGCCACGGGGCATTGCTGTGGATTGGGTGGCCGGGAACATTTATTGGACAGACTCGGGGCGTGACGTCATTGAAGTAGCACAGATGAAAGGGGAGAATCGCAAGACTCTGATCTCGGGCATGATTGACGAGCCACATGCGATTGTAGTGGACCCACTTCGAGGGTAAGAGAGGCCCCAGTTCTCCTTCCAACTTGCCCTGTCCCTGTAGAATGATCTCACAGAAGGCCTTTCTCTTTATAGCGTCATGTACTGGTCAGACTGGGGGAACCACCCTAAAATTGAAACAGCTGCAATGGATGGGACTCTGAGAGAGACGCTTGTCCAGGACAATATCCAGTGGCCTACTGGTGAGTTAAGTGAATAATCTGTGCTTTAGCAGTCCAGTTTTCTAATTGTGATGAGCCGGGGTATGGCACAGAGGTAACACAGGCAGCTGGCAGCTCAAACCGCCCCTTTATTGCTCCAAATTCCCCCAAACGCTCCCATGTATCTGGCAAGTCCCAGAGCAAAGTGATGACACACACACCTCCAGCAGCTTCTGGCTGCAAGTAGTCCAGCACAGCTGCAAAGCAAGAATTCCAGCAGGGCAAATCAAGGAGTTCAGGAAGCAAAGGATCACGGTAATTAGTCCAGAAAGTCAGAAAGAATGCAACGAACCCAGAAAAGTTTAAATGTCGGCAGCACTCCATGAATTCAGCATTTGTTCCTCAAAAATGCCCCTCCCCACATCATCTCCTTAAGTCTCAGTTCCCAGGTGTGCCTTGTGAAGAGGGGCGGGACGCTTTCCTCCTGAGCAGTCGGCTGAGTCTGTACTGTTCTCGCCTTCTATCCACTCTGCATGCTTGAGGATCAGGAGGGGGCGGTCCTTGCTCATTGCCTAAGCGCCATCGGTCATGTTCACTGCTTAGCCTTTCTTGGTCATCCTGCCCACCCACCCCTTTCTCCTTGCTTACAAGCTGGCCAAATCTTGAAAGGGCCTGGTCTGACTGGCCCTGCTCTTCCCCACCTTCCTTCGAAGCTAATGACACCACCCTTGTTGGCTCCAGTTCCAGCTCGTCTTCCTCCGCAGAGTCAGGCTCCATTGGGGGCATGACACTAATCAAAGCTGGGGACGGGGGACATATGCTTGACTTTCAGGACTTTTGAAAAGTTCAGTATGATAATCGACATTTGTGGTTTACTTGCAGGTCTGGCTGTTGATTATCACAACGAGCGTCTGTACTGGGCAGATGCCAAGCTGTCGGTCATTGGCAGCATCAGGCTCAATGGCACTGACCCAGTGGTGGCCATCGATAGCAAGAAAGGTAAAAGAAAAAAGAAGTAAACAAATCATGCGTGTCTGTGCTTTTGTTTTCATATCTATGCATATCTATGTGCGTATATGTGAAACAGAGGAGAAAATATACTTCTGGTGGCACCATAAGACCACCTTCTCTCTTCTCGGCAAGGTCTCTATTATCTCTTTTTTTTAGTTAACAATGATAATGCAATTATTGTTTTTAAATCAAATGGGCAAGATAAGTCAACTAAAGCAATCCAAACCAGCAATGCTACGTCCCTCTCTCTTTTTTAGAGAAGTATTTTTGTTCCAGAAGTGAAATTTGAATTATAGAAAATTGCCTTCTACTTGCAGTCTTAGAAGTTGTCGTCAGTTAAATGTTTTCTTCTTTTAGAGAATCTAAGAGTATTTTTCACTGCAATTAATACAGGATAGGACATTTCTTTTCCTCTTCATGGTAGCAATCAATAGATCATCAGGTTTTTTTCCCCTGTCTTTGTTTATGGACAGATATTTAGCTCACCTGGCCAAATTCAAATATTGCCTCCCCCATACTACAACGAATAGAATTGCCCAAACAATCTCTTACTCTTCTTTCATGCTTTTTTTCCTCTAGGACTCAGCCATCCCTTCAGCATAGACATTTTTGAAGACTACATTTATGGTGTCACTTACATCAACAATCGCATCTTCAAGATCCACAAGTTTGGCCACGGCACTGTCACCAATCTTACCGCTGGACTAAACCATGCCACTGATGTGGTACTCTACCACCAGTATAAACAGCCAGATGGTCAGTTTCACTTCATGGAGTACCACACGCAGCTTTTGATATTATATCATGGGCAACCAAGTACAGGACCAGTGACACCCCCCACCCCCCCACCCCCCCCAAAAAAAGCTATTCTGACTTTTTCAGAGTTTTAATGTGCTATGTATGGAAGGCATCAGATTGGGAAAAGTTGGAACATTAGTTAGAATACTAGGTTCATTTTTAAGAACAAAACTGACGAGTTAAGTCCAGTTTCGAGAAAGGCATAAAAAAAGCCCAGTGAGGTATTTAAGATATTTCATCAGAAAGGAATGGCTAGGAAAAAAAAGAAAATACTACCAATTATGGGTAAGGCTATAGGTGTGAGGACAGGTGGCCATGATTTCATAATTTGACCATCTGCAAAATAGATGCCAAGACCATGATAACTAGGCTTGGATTCAATATCTGTATGGGCAGAGTTGATTGCTGTTATAGATTTACCTCTAGAGGTCCCTGCAGCATAGAAAAAAAGCTGAGAGAGGCAAGAAACTGTAACAAAACATAGAAATTTTTGCCTGCATATTGGAGGCTCAAACTATAAGTTTGAATGCTAAATTACAGCCTGTCCAACATTAGGGCTTAGTTTGCTGGACAGTGGAGTTACTGAACTTTTTCAGATATTTAAAATGCTTTCAGCAGATAGATTTACCACAGATATGTTAAGGAAGCCCTCAGGGATTTAGATGCATTACTTTCCTGTTTCTTTGGAAGAGATTTATAAGAGTAAAATAAGAGTTGTGCAAAATGAGGCAGGGGAACATTCAGTTTTTCTCCTAAAAGATTCTGTCTTTGGATTCTGTCTTTGGAATGCAGCTATTTGTGCATTCTGGAATTGTTTATAAAATTCTGGAAGTCCATTAGCTGGAATGGGAAAGGTTCTATATAGAATCGCCGAAACATCAGAGTTGTTGGCTGGATATGTTGTGTGCATTCATTGCTATTTTCATTTTCCACTCGGATGATTTCATCTTTGTGGAATTTGCTCGCTCTGGATTTTTACATTAATCCAGACAGATTATTGGCTAAACTGGAGAAGATGTGCTTTTTCAGGGTGATAATAAAGCAGATATGTTAGTCTAATGCAGTGGTGTCAAACTCAAGGCCCGGGGGGGCGGATCCGGCCGATGGGGTGGCTAGATCTGGACCACCCTGGAAACAGCAAAGGACTGGCCTGCGGTGCGCCTGCCACCGAAAACAGAACTCCATTTTCACTGGCAGAGGGTTGCAGGAGGTTGTCACAGCCGAAAACGGTGCTCGGGTGTCCATTTTCGCTGGCAAAGCACTCAGGCTACCATAGGCACCCCCGACATGAGGGATGTCAAGCTGGCTGTGCCCACCTTGGCCATGCTCCCCCCCCGCCCCCCCAAGGTCAAACACAACGGTGATGTAGCCTTCAATGAAATTGAGTTTGCCACCCCTGGGGTAAAAGGGGATTAATAAAAAAAGAGAGTGGGGGGGGGGGGGGGGAGAAATGATTAGCATAGACTCTGAGCCAGGAAAACACAAGCTGGATTGTAAAAAAAAAAAAAAAACTCTTCCGAAACCAAATGAAAAGAAGGCAGTCCAGAAGCTAGAAAATCAAGTCTGCTTCCTGAGGTTCTTTTTCCGACCCTCTTTGGATGCCAAAGGATAGAGAAAGTTTTCCTTGAGACCTCTGCTGAACCCTTCTATTTGCTGTCTTTTCTCTCCAGTGACCAACCCATGTGACAGGAAGAAGTGCGAATGGCTCTGCCTCCTGAGCCCCAGTGGTCCTGTGTGTACCTGCCCCAATGGCAGGAGGTTGGACAATGGCATATGTGTGCTTGTTCCTTCACCTACTGTCTCACCTGTTGGTAAGTCCATCTTCCTCCCGAGCTCTCTGTAAGCGGGTCCTTTAGGCTTGAACTTCATTGCCCTTTAGTGCCTTGATCCTTCCCGGTCATCCCCTGGTAAGACATGCGAGACGAATACTTTAACATGGTGAGTACCATCGTTTGGGTTTCTTTATCGGACAGTGGAAATCAGATCAAGTATTCCTTCACCAATTGAAGGTGACGGCTGTGAGGACCCCCCTAGATGGATTTTGTGTGGTTTCTTCATAGGGTCGAAGGTGCGAAAATAACAGCAGTATGGAAATATGCAGAGTTTGCATTTTAATCATAACGCTTTGTATGGAGACGATCCAGACTCAGTGGCTTTTTCCAGTTAAGGGTTCTTTTTCAGAAAGATAATCAAGAAAGGTCAAGAAAGGTCAACCAAGCTTGACCTAACCCAAGATGGACAGCTCAGGAACCATGTACCTTTCTCTTCTTTTCGAAAGGAGAGCTCAGTTTCATGATGAAAAGAGAAAAGGATGCACCGTGCAAATGGGAGGAGTTGGAGAGGACGGAGAGCGCAAAATAGTTTAAACCTGTTTAATGCTTAACGGCAATTTTGTTCTGCCTTTTTACATAAATGCAGTAGAACACTGCACACAAGTGTCTTTAGGTAGGAAATCAACAAATTTCAGTGACTTTGTTAAAAATATAAAACTGCAGTTGAGGTTTACAAGCAGTTACATCCTCCTGCCTTAATGTTCTTTTCACTACTGCTGAAGTTAATAGCAAACACAACACCATGAACTAAGCTGTCCTATAGCTTTCTTGCCTGGTGGGCTGATGCTTCTTATGAAAAGTAAGCCGCAAAGCAAATCTACGTGCCACAAGTGTATAGAAAGCTATTTCAGGTCCCAGGAGAACAGTGAGCCTCTTCTCTGTTTCTGACTTCCCCTTGCGTTTTTTTATCTCTCGTGGAGCAAGTAATGTTGTGTTTTCAGTCTGATCAGGAAGAGCAGTAGGACATTCTCATACAGAAGCAAGATACATTGTTTAGGGTACTTTACAATCTTACAACCAACTTATTAGTTGCAAGTCACTTGATAGAAGAATCAGTACCTTTGTGCTTCCACTTAAAAGTATGAAGATAAAGACAGTTCTACATACGGCATGTACCTCATGGAATAAGAACCTTTACTGAGAAGTTTCTTGTAAGAATTTCACAAAACTAAGAGAATATTTAGAATGAATTCTTCCAGGTTTGACCATATAACCATAGGGAGATGCTTCAGTCTTCTGCTCTGTCCAGTTTTCCAAGGCTTCCAGCAGATAAGGTCTTTCATATTTCCTGCTTCCTAATATATTCCAGGCATTGAACTTGGTACTTTCCACTGTGCTGTGGATCCTGAACATTTGCCTGAACATCTACTTACCCTGTAGTCTGTAGAGGGATGCTGCTGAGAATTGCTTGTGGACTCTTGCATACTTCTGTTGATCAGTAGCTGGCCACAGAGTAGTTGTGTCGTTAAAAATGAAAGTAGTAGTTTCTATTGAGGTTCTGTGTAGTATAAAATGTATATGTGGGCTGGAGTTATTTATTTTGAAATTGAAGCCCAGTCCCTGGCACAGGAACATCTTTATATTTTAACTTGCTCTCAGTGAAGCGATCGTCTATAATGTCTACTCAAATCTTGGGCTTTCTTTAATATGGATGAAGAGAAACTTCTTCAGATCTTGGTTCCTAGAACCCGTGGTTGCTTAGTCATGCCTTCTTTCTGTATGTACAGAACTCTGGGAAATAATCCTTCTGTAACATGGGTTCTAAATCCACCTTTAGCTCTGAAGGCCTAGGCAATTCCCTTGCTCCGTGAAACCAAATACCTCAACACAAATATCTGCAGTGTGGAAACATTAGCTCCCTGCTGCCGCTTTCCCTCCTCTTCCTCTCTTACTTTTCCACAAGTCAATTTGGATAGTAAGCTTTTCAGAGGAGGAAGTTATTAAAACGGTGCATAATAGCAATAGCATTTAAACTTATATACCGCTTCACAGTGCTTTACAGCCCTCTCTGAGTGGTTTACAGAGTCAGCCTATTGCCCCCAACAATCTGGGTCCTCATTTTACCCACCTCGGAAGGATGGAAGGCTGAGTCAGTCCTGAGCCTGGTGAGATTTGAATTGCCAAATTGCAGAGAGCTGGCAGTCAGCAGAAGTAGTCGCAGTAATGCATTCTAACTACTGCGTCACCGCGGCTCATAATAATAAAAAGTAAGGAGGACTGCTTTTTCATGTCTTTGCATGCTTTATTCTTCAGGTCCAACCACTGACACTTGCGATCTCGTTTGCCTCAATGGGGGCAGCTGTTTCCTCAATGCACGCAAGCAGCCCAAGTGCCGGTGCCAGCCACGTTACATCGGTGACAAGTGCCAGTATGACCAGTGTGCCAGCTATTGCCAGAATGGAGGCACTTGTGCTGCTTCTTTATCTGGTAAGTTGTTGTAAAAATAAGAGTTGGATGCCCAGGGAGAAGAAAAGTGGAGAGTCCTGGCTTACAATACCAAAAATAATAATAATAATAATACAGTACTGCTCTGTTGGATACAAATGCGATTGGACACCAACATATCCCTCACTTGGCTGCTTGTTTTTTTCTACTATTGTTTCCCTATATTTTAAACTACAGTAGTCCTCAACGTTACGACCACAAGTGAGCCCCAAATTTCTGTTTGCTAAGTGAAACATTTCTGAAGTGAGTTTTGCCCCATTTCACGACCTTTCTTGCCACAGTTGTTAAGCGTATCACTGCAGTTGTGAAGTTAGAAAGTCGGTTGTTAAGTGAATCTGGCTTCCCCATTGACTTTGTTTGTCAGAAAGTCGCAATGGGGGATCACATGACCCCAGGACACTGCAAACGTCATACATATGAGTCAATTGCCAAGCATCCGAATTTCGATCACATGACATTGGTGATGCTGCAATGGTTGTAAATCTGAAAAACGATCATAAGCAGTGGTACGATTCAACCAGTGTAACAACCAGTTTGGTGAGGGTGCGCGCACACACACTGCATGCTCACCGGAACTACCAGTTCACCCGAACCAGTCTGAACTGGTAGAATCCCACCCCTGATCATAAGTCCTTTTTTTCAGTGCTGTTATAACTTTGAACAGTCACTACATGAACGTAAGTTGAGGAGTACCTGTGTTTTCCCCCCGAAGGCCTTATAAGTTACATATATTCTTTGTCTGTAGTTTCTCTGTGGAGTCAAATCTTCATTGATTGGCTACTTTGAAAATTGAAAGTGGATAGAGACTCGGAGCCAGGGAAAACATTTGACAGCCAAGATGGGCATTCAGTGAAATGCAGGGTTTGCCTCAGGAATTCAGGATACAGCCTCGCCCTGCCAAAATCAAGACCCCACTTAATCGACAATCTCTTTCTTCCCACCCACCCAGGGATGCCAACATGCCGCTGCCCCAATGGCTTCACTGGGTCTCAGTGTAACAAGCCGGTGTGCATGGATTATTGCCTGAACAATGGCAGTTGTACAGTCAACCAGGGTAACCAGCCAAACTGCCGCTGCCCGGACAGTTACGTTGGTGACAAGTGCCAGTTTCGTAAGTATTCCCAGGCAAGCTGATGGCAAGATGTCCTGAGGGTTTTGAAGGGCAGAGTCTGCCCGTTAGTCGCTGCCAAGAATACCTCAAATTCTAACCAAAGGGAGGAAGTACAGAGAAACCAGTTAGTCTAGCCAAGCAGTCTTTCCGCTGACTTCCAGGAAGTTGGAGCTGAAATCTCTGCCTTGCCTCCTTGGATCTTTCTTGGGGTCGGTAGCAACAGTGAAGGTGAAATTGGATGGAGAATATACGCGTTTCTCGCCAAGGATTGCTGTAATCTTTCCACTCAATACAGAGTCATTTCGCTTAACCTATCACTAATGTAAATAGGCACGCTTGGAGTGTGCTTGCAATCTTGGGGCGCATTTACAGTCACTAGGCCAGGGGTGTCAAATTCGCGTTGTCACAGTGGGATGACATGACGTGTTGGGTGTCAGGTTTCCAAGTGATGAAATCCATTTAAAAAGAAAAGAAGGAAGTCCACCTTCCAAAACAATTTCTTTTATTTAGGAAAACATCTGTTGTAATTCCGGATCTGACGCAACCCAGAATTACACCACATAATATCGGAAGTTAGATACAGCCCCCAAAAGTCACATTCCCCAATGGAAGTAAACCAACGTTTCCTGGTATCATCAATCTGCACCTCCAGGTCTCAGCATGGTCAGCTTTTGTTCCCACGGGAAGAAAAACCACCTAGCCTAAACAGCTCTCTCTATCTCCTCTCCTCCCCCCTTAGGAATGTGGCAAGCCCAAAAACCTTCCCCCCCATAACCAGCAAAGAGAAAGAAAGAAAAGGAATATATCATAAGGCTAAATAAAATGGCTACGCATATGTCAATTTTGGGCTTGACATCGGGACTGTTTTTCCCTTCACTAAACCAGGTGGGGGAGGGGCCAGTACATGACGCATCCAGCCCACAGGCCGTGAGTTTGGCGGTCCCCTGCTGTAGGCACACCATAAAGATTTGCACAGTGTGGGAACTGAAGATGCCAGAGAACTTTATAGAGTGTACCCTTTCCCCTTTGGACCATGCCAGGGTTTCTAGAAGTAAATCCTCTGAATTGGGAGGATCTTAAGTGGCATTCCAGATGAGGCAGACCCTGTTTTGGGATTGGATTACCTTTTTGGAACAGCTTCCAGTTCAGGGGAATTATTTCTGGAAACCACTGAACCATTCAGAGAATGGCATGTTTTGGAAGAGATTTACCACGTTCCTTTTTTGTGGGCGGGTGGAAAGACTAGGACCTTCTAAAGCTGCCTGGAGCATTCTTTTTGCAAATGAGCAAACTGCTATGCACATCCTTAATGTGTTAGCACTTTAAAAAAAATAAAATAACACCATTATTTAATAATAACCAATCAGTGGGGTATAAGAGATAAAAGATTCCGAGTGAGCCGGCAGTCAATTGTTTGTGAATCTCAGGCTCAGGCAGAGTCTCTGCCGTGAATCTGGAATGAATCCTTTCCACTTACGCCAACATCTCTCTTGCTCTTTCAGGCCTTTGTTCCAACTACTGTGAAAATAATGGCGTGTGCCATTTGACAGCCTCTGGGATTCAGCAGTGTCGCTGCACAACAAATTATTACGGTGACCGCTGCCAGCATGACAAGTGTGATCGCTGCCTCAAGGGCAAATGCTCCATCAACAAGCAGACCGGCAATGTCACCTGCATGTAAGTAGGTGGGATTTGTTGCGAGAAGTGCCGATGGGTGTGGAACAAGGAGAGTCCAAGTGGTTCAGGGCTGTAGAGGGAACAAGCTGAACCAAGTACAGGGAGGGGGAGGGAGGGAGAAAAGTCTAGGGCAGAGGGCAAAAGTCTGTCAATAGGCAACATCTTGCAAAATCTTGAAAGACTGAGAATCAGGGTAAGAAATCCGGGCTCCATTGACCATGCTTCCCTTTGACCTTGGCAGCTGCCCTGATGGCAAGATGGCCCCCAGCTGTTTGACTTGCAACAACTACTGCATGAATGGGGGGACATGCACCATGAACGCTGAAACTTCCATGCCAGTGTGCCAGTGAGTAGAGAGGGAACTTGGAATGAAGGGAGGGACATGCCCGTGGGCCCGAGTTAAAAGAAGAGATGACTACCCACCACTTTCCAGAATGATCATGGGTGTTGATTTTCCATGTCATCCTATTCCCCAGTTCTTCTTCTTTAAGGATATTCTTAGAATATTGCCTATTGCCCTATTGCCTTAGATCACCTACAGTAGTTGTTAATAGCACTAGCACTTAGACTTATATACTGTTTCATAGTGCATTACGGCCCTCTCTTAAGCAGTTTACAGAGTCAGCCTATTGCCCCCAACAACCTCGGAAGGAGGGAAGGCTGAGTCAACCTTGAACCAGTCAGGATCAAACTCCTGACAGTGAGCAGAGTCAGTCTGCAATGCTGCATTCTAGCCACTGCGTCACCATGGCTCTACATAACTTTACATAAGTTATGTAGGGCCATGGTGGCACAGTGGCTAGAATAACTACTTTAAATAAATAAATAACTACTTTATTTATTTATTTACTTACTTACTTACTTATTTATTTTGCTGCCTGTTCGCCCATGGTGACTCATTTTTCATAATCATAATTCATGTAATCCAGCCCTGATTTATTCTTCTCTCAGTTAGTTTTCCCCCCAAAATTGCCCAGTGCTCCTGCCAGCATCTTTCCTGCTCAGAGGAACTGCCCTGTTGGGTTTATACTGTGTTTTGCTTCTCGTTCTACAGGTGTATCTTGGAAATGACTGGGGAGCGTTGTGAGGAATCTGTGAACAGCATACAACAAAGCAACCGTAAGTGGAGTGGGGACATGGCTGTTGTAGGGACTGGGGTGTGTGTTGGACAGGTATATTGGGAGGTTGGAGGTCATTTATTTGTAGAAAAAAAATTGATAAGGTTCCAAATCAAACAGACAATGTGACTCATGATGTTTCAGTGTCTGAGAGCCTGCCTCCCACTATATTTACAGGTGGAACAATCCACTAAGATTATCTTTCCAGATCTGATGAGATGGTAGGAATATCATCAATTGGTTTTGGGGGCATTAGCAAAGAATGGTTCCCCTGCAAAAGTTGCCTTTGAAATGATTAGGAAGATAACTATATTCAAGGCAGAACAGATAATTTTTTCACTGTCCTTGTTCTTGGAGCTGCTATAAGTTCTGTAGAGGAGAGAAGTTCAGTACAGAAGATTGCGAAAATTAAAGGTATATTGCAATGAAGAGTTATTGCAGCGAAGAGTCTGGTGGAGAGGCAGAGCAATACTGCCACCCCACCCATTGCCAAATTGCAACCCCATCTCTTCGTTCTAAGGAGAAGGCGTTCTGTCTATTTGAAGCAAGGCGGTTGACTTGTTCCTCCTCTTCTCCAACTTTATTATTATTATCCACATAATAACACTGTAGCGTAAGTTGTATTGAAGGTGCTTGGCTCAAACTCATGCTTAGAAGGCCTTTTGCTTCTGAAGGGAGAACTGGGGTCCCCACAGTGTCACCCACTACACCCACTTGTCTCCCATTTGGGAATATACTCTCTCAGATTGTTATCTATTGCTATCATCATTTGGCAGAAAAAAGAAGCGATATCAAGAGACATGTGTAAAGAGAAGGTAATGTGGCACACATGTCCAGAGCGGAAGTGAATGTTTTCTATGTTTCAGAGGCAACCAATGTCTCCCTATTTTTTTCTAGGAACTGTGTCTATTGTCATTCCAATTCTGCTGCTGCTGCTCCTAATGCTAGTGGCTGGTGCTGTGGTTTGGTACAAAAAACGGATTAAAGGGTAAGCTTGGGCATTCCAAAACAATGAATGCAGATGGTCTAAGAAGTCCTATATAACTACCATAGTACAGACTGGGATTCTATCCTTAAATACGGGATTATTTATTTATAAAAGCCAGCTGTTAAGACAGATGCAAACCCTTCTCGGCAAAGGTTCAGCTTTGATTATGTCTATGAGCCAGTCTGTTGCACTTCTGTTCTCACCTATGACGCCATTTGCCTTGGGTCAATAAGTCCTTTCAGGTGCCAAATTGGATTGAAGCATCTTGTACTACGGTATATGGTAGATTCATAATATACGGTAGTATCTGGATTGTCTCAGGAGGAAATGGATGGGGAAAGTGTCTCTTTTGGATACTTAGATCTTAATCTGCTGCCAAAATGCATGGATCTTTGACTTCAAGCAAGTACCTTAAGAGAGGAAATGTCACTGCAATATTTATATTTTTACATAATGATAGATAGACAGACAGACAGACAGAAGACAGACAGACATAGGCAGATAGATAGAGGAAGACAGGCAGAGACATCCATACATCCATGATATACACATGCACACACGTAAAGGTAAAGGTTTCCCTGTCCAGTTATGTCTGACTAGGACACAGTGCTCATCTCCATTTCTTGACAGAGGGAAACGGCACTTCCAAAGACATGTTCCATGGTCATGTGGCCACCATGGTTATATGCCAAAGGCGAATGGAACACTATTACTGACAGCGATGAACTCTGGAACCCTGACAATTACCTTTCCACCTAAGTGGCACCTATTAATCTACTCACATTTGCCTGCTTTCAAACTGCTAGGTGGGCAGGAGCTGGGGCAAGGAACGGGAGCTCTCTCCCTTGCGTTGCGCTCAGGTCTCGAACCGGGCTGTCAGCTTTCCATCTTGACAAACTCAATGCCTTTAACCTCTGAGCCGTCACGTCCCCTATATCCAGATTACTTTACAACTAAACTTTTCTGTATTGACAGACACTATATCCCTCCCTCCCCATTATATGCATAAAAGTTATTCTGAGAGCCAAACTACATTTTACAATTAACACCTTGGATTCCAGTCTCCTATGTTTATAAAGTTGGGTAGGTAGAGCTATTTCCATGTCCTTACCACCAAATTCAACAATTACCACCAAACTCAAAACATTTTTCCCCCGGGAAGGATATTTGCTGTGCAAAATCAATGCATGCGGAAAAGATTAAGGATCCTTTTACACACGTTCCTTCAAGGCATTTAAACCATCTCAACAAAGACAACAAGCACAACAAGCAGAAACACCGAGTTAGTGCATAATTCTTCCTCCACCTCCCAAGAATTTGCAGTTCAGGTCCTACTCAGTAATGCTGCATTGCTGGATGCTTGCATCAATGCCCAACCGTGGGTGTTTGACACCCCCTCCCATTCATTCCTGCTGTGTCTCTCTCTTCCAGGGCCAAAGGTTTTCAGCACCAGCGCATGACCAACGGAGCCATGAACGTGGAGATTGGCAATCCCACCTACAAGATGTACGAGGGGGACCCTGACGCAGATGATGTAGGGGAGCTGCTAGATGCCGACTTCGCTCTGGACCCTGATAAGGTTTGGAAGAGGAAAATGGGAGCCCCAGACTGCACGAAGATATTGTGCACCATCATTATTATATGAGGAAAAGCCGCATTACCCAATCTTTAGTTACACATGGTGATGATAATTTAAACAGGTAGTCCCCGACTTACAACAGTTCATTTAGTGACCATTCAAAGTTACAACAGCACTGAAAAAAGTGACTTGGTCATAAGTCGAGAACTATCTGTAAGTAGCATTTGTACCCGAATGAATAGCTGCAATTGCACATTTTGTGTCATGAACACAACAGTTCCCTTCCTATCGCAAGGTCTTCAAGGATTAAAAGAGCCACCCTTGAGGACAGAGATCAAATGCCATCGTGTGATTTTCGCACAATGATGTGGTTGTTGGAAAATAGAGAACCCTTTTCAAACGACCATAAACTTGCAAATCTTCAATCATTTCACCTACTTCCAATCTGTTAAATTTTAAATTTGCAATTTAAAAAGGTTTCATTTAGTGTTTCTGTAGAACATATCTGGAAAAACTGTGGGAGTCTTGCCTTCTACTGGCTCTGGATTTAAAATATCCAATTTGCCTGTAGCCTATCAATGCTGGATTATTCGCAGTTTTCCAGACGTTTGGGCACAAATACTAGCCTTAAACTCCCCAGCCATGGTTTTATTTGCACCAGGGAATTGGAGAAACTTTGGTGGCATTATCCTCCATTTTCATGCTTAACCATACAATATGATTTAGTATTGGGGTGTGTATTTATAGTAACTTCAAAAACAACAAGAACTACTAATGTGCTTTGTTATCCCCCAAACCAACAATTTGAGCAATGCATTTTGCTATTAGATAACCACATTAAAACAGGGGAAGGGAGGCAACTGGATGTAGTGTGGAACACCCGTTAACGTTGGCCAAAGCCTGAGTTTGGGGTCATGAGGTCTCCCCATCACTTGAAAGGATCCGTGCTATCTCTCCAGGCATTATTGCTGTGTGATTGGTTTTCCTTTTCACCGAGGGGTTGTAACGCCACTCAGAATCACTCTTTTCAGTGAGGGGGCAGCTCAACTAAGTGATAAATAAAAAGGATGCACGGATTTCAGAAAATCCTTTGGAATAAGTGCTTCTGAATGCTCATAAGCACAGCGCCTCTCCACTATTCATGGAAGCTGCGCCGTTTTTGTCAGACTGCTTGATGTTAAAAGTGTCACCGGCCAGAAGAAGCTTTTTTTTTAAAAAAAAACAAGTATTATGGAGAAGCCCGAAGGAAATAATGTTCCCTTCGTGAAAAGTGTCGCACTGACACGAGGTCCAAACCTTTTTAAAGCCACGCTAGTTGTTGCCATATTGTGGTGGGAAGGAAGGGAACAACAGTCTCCGAGATGGTGATGATGCTGGGGATAATATAAAGATGAAGTATCAAGGGAAGCTGGCTTTGTCCTTTTCCCGGCCATCTTCTTACTCTCTTTTTTTTTCCCTTTCTCTTCTCTAGCCCACAAACTTCACAAACCCAGTGTACGCCACACTCTACATGGGTGCCCACAACAGCCGCAATTCACTAGCCAGCACAGACGAAAAGCGGGAGCTGCTGTCGAGAGGGGCAGATGATGACCTAGGCAACCCCCTGGCATAAGGAATGGGGGTAATGGGCCATCAGCCCAAGACAGAGACCAGATGGAAAGAGACCAGATGGGGAGGGAGCAAGAGATACTGTATAAATGTACAAATGAAGGATTATTACTTTTATATGTGAGCAGTATTATTACCTGTATATTCCCTTTCATCTACCAGCCGCTGAATCTCTTGTCACTGGACTCAGGGGTGATTGAAGTTAAGGCAATGTAGGGAATAGGGGAAGAACTGTAAGAAGACCCCACTTTAGGCTAAAGGGCTGGATCTTTTTGCTTGCTGCACAAAACAATCCACTTCTGCTTCTTCTGCAGGCAGCTTTTAGGTTGCTAGCCTTTTAAAGTTTTGCAATACTTTCCCACCCTTCTCAGGATGCAATTGATGAATCCAGGAAGGCTTTTTTCTTGCCAGAAGTTGGAGATGAACCATATTGAAAAGTGCATGTCTGAAACTTGCAGGGAAGGGGAACATCTTCCTTCCTTCTCGTGCACACTGAAAATTGGTTCCGCTGAACGTGGATCGCAATATGATGCCAATGTTGACAACTCAATGTAGGTTTGTCGGAGAAGAGATACCCACGACAGACACACCAGTGATCTTTTAATTCTGGGGCACTGGGGGGGGACACACGCACCATGATTTTAGTTTGCTTATTTCCATTTGCCCCCTTTTCCCCCTCCCTCCACAGACTGATCCATTTGGGAAGAAAATGGGGAGTGGGTCAGTAGCTGCACATCCATCACAAACGTGGGTTGGAGAAAACCCCAGAGGAACCTGTGGATGTGCTACTGTATGTGAACTCATCCCTTAGGAAAATGTAAGGTGTTTTCCCCGAGGAACCCTCAAAAACCTTGTTCTGTTTTGTGATTCCTCTTTCAAAACGAAACAAAAAACGAAGCCTTATATCAGGATGTCTTAAGGAGCAGATTTCTCTGCAGTGCACAGACATGGCAATACCTTATCCTGGCCTGTTTCTCCTTCCCCCTTTGTGCAACAGTTCCATTTGCTCAGTGAGCAAAAGGAGCTGACTCTTGATTTGACCATTTGTCATTTAAAAAATAAAAAAAACCAAACCAACCCTTCAACGTTTCTTTTCGGTGTTCCATCAGGTCCTCTCAGATCACCCGAAAGTCCACAAAAGGCCCTTTGGCTACCGAAGAATTGAATTAAAGAACCACTGGTGTAAATGTTCTTCTCATCAAGTGCATTCTTATTTTTTTTTTCCCCAATAGTTTTTTCCTGTGTATTTCCAACAATGGCCTTTTCTCTCACAGCACCCAGCCAGTCTAATCTTTGCAACGCCTTAATCATTTTTTTTTCTACCAATATGATTTTAATCTCCTCTTATCCCATCAGCCACCACCCAAACTGGTTTTCTCGTATCTTTTCACCTTTCCACTAATTTTTTTTTCCCCTCGAAAGCATTTTATTTCCAGAAATCATATTCTTTTGGGAGAATTATTACTTTGACTGTATCTCACTTTATTTTAGTGTCCGTGTCTTAAGACTAAGCAGAGTTTACAAATTGTGAATTGCAACCAAGGTCCCATTTCTTCCCCTCTTTCCTGACCTTCCCTCCCTCCTCCCTCCATCACCACAATTTCCATCATTCCTATTTCTGGAAAGAGGTTCAAATGTTATTTCAACTTTTCATTTCTTTCCAACCTGTTTTTGGTTTGTTTGTTTTTTAAAGATGAAATCAGATCAGAAGTAAATAAGATGAACTAGCTTTTATAGTAGAAATTACACGCATGTAGGGGGGAGGGAAGGAGGTCTCCTCAGCATTTTTTTTTCCCTGGGAAGAGGGCCCAAATGTTTTAATAATTTTTGCCAGATTACTTTACAACTAAAAACAAAACATTAAAAATAAAAAACAGATATTGTTATAAATAAAATTTTTAAAAACTAACGCTTTTAAATATTTCTTCTTTATTTCATTGGGGGCTGATTTTATTCCACGGGAAATTGCAAATTCTGAACAGTTTTGTCGTGTGTAACCTAAACAACAGGAGAACCAACTTGGTTTGGTAGTTAAAGAACCAGGGTAGAGACTGAGAGATGGTGAGTTCTAGACCCACCTTGGGCCAGTCACTCACTCTCAGCCCTAGGAAGTAGGCAAGGGCAAACCACTTATGAAAAACTTGCTAAGAAAACTGCAGTGACTTGTTCAGGCAGCCACTGAGAAGGCACCAAAACAAAAAAAACAAATCCAACTAAATAGCAGATACACCTATCTAGCAAAGCAAGTGGTCTGGGCAGCCTCAGCCTATGAAAAGACCTTGGCGAAGTTTTGCTCTGCTTCAATTTGATATCAGGCAGGCAGAGAAATCACCTCCCTGCTTGCTGTAAATCGTTTCTCCCTCTCCAAAACTATTTAGAGAAGCTTTTTAAGTTGTCAGGTTGCTTTGTGGAGGTAATAGGGGATGGAATCTAGACTGAGAAGTCAGAAAATATTCCAGAAAATGACATGCCCCTTCTGCACTGTTGGCCATAATGCATGTGTGTGTGTGTGCGCGCGCGCACACACACACACACACACACACACGCAGTTACCAAGAATCAAGCAGGAGTCTAGCTTTTGTTTGATTAATAGCGTTCTTCCTCAACTTGATGTCTTGTGTGTTCTCATAATCCCCCGTCTAGTATAACAAACTTGTAGATTGATGAAGGCTGTTTCACGGAATTTTGATTTCTTCTAAAGATGGTATCCCCAAAGACCGTGGAATGTTCAAAACAGCCTTTATGAAGCTTCATATTACCTCATCTTAAGTATGGATGGAGTATCCCAGTCAATAACCTTTTTAAACATCAAATCTTAGGAGTGATTGTGAGGATAAGGAGCCAGATGACTGATAAGGAGCCAGAAGACCATTCAAGCAATAGCGGCTGAAATTCCTACTGTAGCTCTATGAAATGCAGGATTTCCTTCTGCATCTCACCGGCTTTGTTTGAAATCTCTGTCCTGCTAGTCTAGTAATATTCATTTTAATAGGCATTGTATTTCCCCCCCTTCATCTCTCTTAACAACCCATCACTTGCTTTAGATTCCTATTGTAAGGAAAAGGGTAGTTAGGAAGGACAAAGTTGAGGGAAAAAATTCTGCCATTGGCTACCACAGCTCACTTGGATGAAACTGATGGTGTGAAGATCACAAAAGAAACTTTTGTTACAAAATGTAGGTTCCAAGCCATATTCCTGTTGGACTCCTTAAAACAGAGGCCTCCAAACTTGGCAACTTTAAGCATAGCCGGCTGGAGAATTCTGGGAGTTGAAGTCCACAAGTCTTAAAGTTCCCAAGTTTGGGGACCCCTGCCTTAAAATGAGGTCTTTAAAAAAAAAAAACCTCTAGGGTCCCTTCCAGCCCAGTGATTACATGATTATGATCATGGTGCGTTCCTCCATTTCTAAATTCATTCTAGCGTTTTCTATTTTTGAACTAAATCTTGATCAATATCTTGATCCATCCCCATGTTTCCTCTATTTTGCATGAGCTTTGTGGAGGATCAACATGATTTGAATCTCCATATTGGTCACCAGGTGGCACCAACAACTTCAGATAAAGATTGTTCAGGCCAAAGCTGAGCCTGATAGGAAATTAAAGTTGCCTTGTTAAAAAATATTATGTGCCTTATGCACACTATCCCTACAACAAAGAAATTTCCAGTTGAGTCAGCTTTCTTAAATCTGTGCCAAACCTTTTCACTTGCTGAGTGGTTGATTTTGGTTTCTTTTGGGGGGAAAATCTCCACTCAAAAAAAACCATACTGAATCTATATGGCACTCTAATTTTCAATTTTGCAGTAGTGACATCCAAAATAAGGGTTTGAGCAAAGAACTTTCTGTGAGGGTTTCCCTATTAAAGGTAAGATTGTCATGTACACACAATCCACTTCCAGTCTTAGGGAATGAGGAAGACAGCATCTCGGGTAGACATTTCCAGATGAGCTTGACTTCAGCAGTAAAAACTAGGACTTCCCTGGTCCAGAAGTTGTCAAAGTTGGTAATTTTGCCATGCCTTATTACCTGGCATTGTATGCATTGCCATCTTGGGGATTCGGTTGTTCTCCATGCGGAGAATTTGACCTGCAAATTGGAGCCAAATTAAGGAATGGACAAAATGATGTCAGTGAAAAATGAGGCTAAAATAATCTCTTCTCAACTCCCAAAGGAGTGTTGGATTTTTAATTGTCAAAATGGTAGCATCTCATCTGTGCAGTTGACTAACATCCTAAGCCTTTAACCATCTAATCCAAGCACAAGCCAGGTTACAATCTGCCTTTTGCAGGCTACTCTGGTCCACCAAGAATATTCTCCCAAATGCTTCTAAATCATCAGAAACACACCTAGACTACAAGTCCATCCATGTAACAAATTTTTAATCCTTCAGTTTTTCTCCTCTCACAATCTATATATAGTGTAAATGCTTAATATATCCTTACCCAGACCTTTTCTTAGCATATAAATCCCAACATGCCTCATACAATCTCTGGCAGTGATCCCACACTTAATATGTATATTTAGAGATTTGCTTTATCTTTTCTGAACCTACAAATTCCACAAAGACAACCCTGTTTTTATTCCCTCCACACCTACAACAAATCTCAAGATTATTGTTCACAAATTCTCAGACTAGAATAGCAGAGCTGCCTTTATAAGATCTGATTACTTCTTACTGTGCCCTCAGTTTTGGCTGACAGTGTTAAATAATAGAATATTGGGTTCACTGACAACCTATGATTCTACCAAAAAGGTTTGAAATTCTGTTGACTACACACATTTGCATGTTTGATGGGGTGGGAAGAAAAGTCACTAGATGCTTTTCATTGTTGCATTAATGGTTTGTTGAAAAAATTAGGACTAGTATCACAGAATATGCTAATTGCAGATGAGAAACCACAGGTAGAGATAAAGCAAAGTGACATGGTAACCTGTGCAGGGCAACAAAAGAAGACCCAGCCGATCAGCTGGGGTTCGGGAGGCAGAGAATAGATGGGGGCGGGGCCAGTCAGAGGCGGTATTTGCCGGTTCTCCGAACTACTCAAAATTTCCACTACTGGTTCTCCAGAACTGCTCAGAACCTGCTGGATACCACCCTCTGGTTAGAGGGGTTTTAGAAGCAAAAAGGGTATTTTAGGTCTTTCCCACATTCCCAATTCCAGTGATAACATGCTGTGCCCTGACACAGTGCCCATGTTTTTTAATTTAAAATATGCAATCATTATCAGTAAGAAGGCTCTCTATCCTTAACTTGTATGTTATGTCATGGAGGACATATCACGTGAGCTTATTCATAGCAACAATCGTTGCTTGAAACACCTTCAAGGCAATATCTAGAATATAATATTGGTACTAATCCCACCTCAGCCACTGCCAATTTATCATCCTGGACACATTCAGTTGACCTTTTTCAACTGAAATGTTGTCCTGTGATGAATGCTTCATCCCCAATATTGTCAAATGTTTTATACCCTTCTGTGACTTCCTTACATATCCCAAGGCACGTGCAAGGTTGCTCTTCTTCAGCTTGCGTTAGTTGCCGTTTCCTACGATTCCCTCTTAAGTTATTTGGTTATTGTGTTTGTCAGAGAGTAAAATTTCCTCGACCAAGAAGCCCCCACAGGAGCAGCCCAAATCTGGAATATGGGAAAGGCCAATGCAGATCAGGCCAAGAGGTGGCATTAGTGTTTTCCAGATGTTTTGGACTGCAATTCCCAAAGTCTTATGAAATCTGGGGCTGATGGATACTAAAGTCCAGAACGCAGAGCACACAGTTGTCTATGCCTGGATCAGACCTAGCTGGAAAGAAGTTTGGGGAGTAACAATAGTCGGATTGCCTTGCCTGAAATATGGAAATATGGTTCAGAGAGACATCCCGTGATAGTGTAATCAGAAGTTCTCTTCACTTATTTCAGTAGGATTTATTTTTAGGAAGTATGTATATAAAAGTGTAAGCTATAATTGCCTTTCACAATCTGGTTGATAGATGTAAACATAAGAAACGTTCTGTTTTCTGACAGGGAAAAAAAGATTCACTCTTTCAAGGCGAAAGACTGTGGTGGAAAAAAATGCTTAAGATTGTGCTGGGAGATGCCAGCTTCAGAGATCTGCAAATAACATTCCTCCCCTATATTTTTAAAATGGTATGTGGAAATG